TATCCTAACAAACCATACATCAATGGAAAGCTTATTTATTCAGCTTTCAGATTATGTATAAATCTCAATTTCTAAAAAATGTACCCTTTTATGACTGGTTTTGTGCTCCAGGGTCACATATGTCAGTCAGCGCGATCGTTTTGTTTTCATCAGCATGGGTTTGAAAATCATATTTTACTGGTTCAAACTCATGCCATACAGAATTCGCTATGATTATTCATAAAGCTGGAATGCTGCGCTTTGCAACGATATATCCTACAACTTGTGGTGAGAAGCAGCAGCAGTCGTCCAGAAGTGAGCAGAGAAAAAGGTACTTCTCTCAGGAAACGTACAAATAAAGATCCTTTTAGATGCTTAATTACTATTTGAAGCATTTGGATCACTAGAAGAAGGCTTAATGAACTCATTTTTGTGAAAACCTCAAATTCGACCAAAAACGAAATTTTTTGTCAAAAAAACTTTTGTCTGTAGCTCAATATTAGACCGTACGCATTCACACTCATTTTGCCAGCACGGGTCACAAATATATAAACAAAATATGGCATCTTACAGTTCCACAAAAAGCTGTGAGTGGCTGCACAAGCAAACTTGACTGTGCTAATCATGAAGATATACAGTAACTCTGTGCAAGCATGGCTGCTGGTTTAAGCTGGTCCTTAGCTGGTCCTAAGCAACTAGCTCCTGCTCAGGACCAGCTTAGGACCATCATATGACCAGCTTAAACCAGCAGCCATGCTTCAAAACATACCTAACCAGCATATACTGTTTTTTTTCAACAGGGATTCTTTCCAATCAAATGCGCTGAAACATGGCATATTCTTTTACAGTCGTGTTCTCATTATAATTTTATGTAGCCTATTAGGGCTGTCAAAAAAAAATTCGAATTTCAAATATTCGTCGAATTTAAAATAAAAATCCACATTCGAATTCAAAAACGTTGCATTTGAATTTTAGGTGTGCGTTAAGGAGGCAGCTTATCAGCGGCGCACGAGATGCGACGACGATGTAATTGTCGTTGCATTATAATGTGTTTGTGAGTCTATCCAGTTGAAGCCACTAGATGCGGCGTTGCTGCGATGTTCATTACAAATATAGCGGAAAAGAGAACACCAACGCAGAGAAAATCTTGTTTACATCAAAACTGAAACCAAACCGTTCACACAGAACACATATTTTACACATTTTCTAGAGGGACATCTATCACCGTTGCACTCGCATCTCGCACAAAAGAGCCGCATGTTTAGAAAGCCATGTAAAATTAATGCAAGTTTAACTTAGAAAAAAACATATCTCGAGACTTTATGGCTGTTTTTCCCCATCCCACTGCATCTCATGTTTTTAAATGATAAATATACTCTGTGTGATTGGCTTTCAGCCCTTTGTATTAAACTATGCATACATACATGATGCTTTTTTGTTTATAGTTGTTTAAGCAACTTAATTATAATTGGTTTATAAACATTATTTTAAACATTATGCACTTTTTTTTCGCAGATAGTCATGTTATCTTATGCTTTGAATGATGCGCCCTCTTGTGTCCTCAGAAGAGAAGCCAAAAGCTTTTCTTCACCCTACACTCTTAAAAATAAAGGTGCTTCACGATGCCATAGAAGAACCTTTTTGTCTAAATGGTTCCATAAAGAACCTTTAACATCTGAAGAACCTTTCTGTTTCACAAAAGGTTCTTTGTGGCAAAAGAAGGTTCTTCAGATTATAAAAAGGTAAGAAAGAGATGGTTATTTAAAGAACCTTTGACTGAATGGTTCTTTGTGGAACCAAAAATGGTTCTTCTATGGCATCGCTTGAAGAACCTTTTGAAGCACCTTTATTTTTAAGAGTGTAACTGAAATTATGCATTTTAAATACGAATATAATTCGAATTTTGATAATATTTAAGTACAAAATTCGAATGTAGTTTTTCAGCCATTTTGACAGCCCTATAGCCTATATGACAGATTTGTTCTGCACATGTTGCCCTTAATAGTACCTTCCTTTTTAAAGCGATTCAAGCACTTCAAAACCATTATGGCCATACGCTTTTTAAGTGTCTCAGCAGGGGTGGGGTAATCCACGAGAGTATCGCCGTTCTCCATGAGAATACCTTGGGTGATGTATCGCGGTTTTTCGGTTCGGTTTAAATACCGTTACACCTCTAATATATGTGTGTGTGTGCATTTTTTTATTTATTTTTTTATGTGGCATTACAGTGTTATCGACCATATGGTGCTATCAAAACATTTCTCTGTTTCTTTGAGCATCCCAACCAATTGGACGCAACAAAGCTCAACCAATGCTGTGAGTCTGTGATGAGACTATCAGTCTAACTAACCAATAGGAGACAGAGGAGTGTTCGAGAGACATGTTTGAAATAATTATTTTTGCATTTCTGTTTGGTGATGCTAATGAAAAAAAAAAACTTTGAGAGGATAGGAACAAATTCTAGTTTTAAATGGGATTTCAATTACATTGATGAGTTTCTTATGTACTATTCAACACTTTCTCATTCTAGGCAAGGCCTAATTTCCATATTACTCTCAGAAAAGCATGAAATTTAGTTTATCTGTGGTGTTGTAGACTAGTTCTTAAAAGGGCCTTTTCAGCAGTTTTGTTTGGTGTAATTTCAGTTCCGGCTGTCTTGAGTTATTTAGCCATTTCTCTTTGTCTGATAATATTAAGCTTAGTTCTATGTCTCAACAATGTTATCCTGGTCTTGAGACCTTTCCAGCAGCAATATGAACCTTCTCTCTGGTTTAATTTGCTTCAAAAACCCCCAGGTCTCTGGAGGAATATCTTCAGCACAATATGTTCAGCCTTGTGCTGCTGCTTCTGTGATATACAGGTAGTTCCTCCTAGGGACCCATAATACTGGTCATCATTTTCCTTTAACATCATAGTCTTGTGACATTACTGACTTCTTCACACCAACATAAACCACACTATCGGCATTATGCCTTGTTATATATCAAGTTATGGAACTGCATTCGTTTGATAGCTTAGGTCTGAAAGATGATTTTGCTGTTATCAGCAAAGAGAGTGAATCTTTATATATATATATATATATATATATATATATATATATATAAAAAAACAGTTGAGCCACAGGGCAAAGATAGCACAGTTTGTCTGTATGAATGTTAGTGTATGCGTTAGTATGTTTAGCTGGGGGAAAGCTATCAGTAATATTTCCTCCATTTGCTGTTTGACAGTAAATTGGCTACTCCAACGCTAGCACGCACCGCAAAACAAGAAAACTTTCCACATTAGTGTTAGCAAGATAACCATACTAACAAAAGCACATATACTAACATTCATACAGACAAGCTATGCTATCTTTGCTCTGTTAAACACTGTAGTAAAATGAATGGGTGGGGTGAGCAGTAGCTCATTAGCATTTAAAGAGACATGCACCAAAACAGAGCTGGTTTTGACAAGGTAAAAGGGTGATTTTTTCACAACCGCTGAGGACTTTTAACCAAAAAATGTTACAGACATTTCAGAAATACCCTAAAGAAACATTGAACAACTTGTGTGAAATGGGCATACGATGTCACCTTTAAACCTTTATCAGCCAATTCCGATAACGTTCCAATAATATCGTACATCCTTACTATTTATGCTCCCTGTGTTTATTCAGGTCTTAAGTGCTTTGTGTCCTAACACTTGTCAAGGTTGCTCATACAAGATGTAGTTAATGTAGTTCAGTGTCATGAATCAAGATGTTGTTTCTTGATATTGATATTTCAAGCAGAATAATAAAAATAACGGTCACTAAACCGATCAAAAAGAGGACACTACATCCTATTTCAATTATAGGCATATTAAATACAGGTTAAATACTTTGTTCCCACTATTAAATACATGTTAGGCAATTTTCAACTTTTTGGATTATTATTATTATTTTAAAGATCATTATTTTGTGTATTTGGTGTAACAGAATATGTTCAGGGATCTTATCTATTCACGAACAGCTTGTAACACCCCAAAGAGAAAGGAAAACTTGAAATCGCATCATATGACCCCTTTAAATAAATGCCTCCCCTAGTAAAAAAAAAATCCATAATTTATTTAAAATACATTTATTTCATACTAATTATACTTCAAATCCATTAACATTTGGCATATCACTTAAGACTTACTGATATAAAATTATAATTTAACTTTATTTGGAGTATTTCTTTATTGCACAATGCACATTTCTTAATAGTATGCCTAAAATGTGTTTGATCTTTGTATAATATCAGTCTTTAAATGCCAGATATTTAAAGTGTACCTGAAGTATACTTGCAATAGTTCTACTTTAGCACAATCAAATATACTTAAGTATATCTTTAGTTGGACCTCGGCACTACTTCCGCACAATTAAAGTGGATTAAGCACAAAATTATTTGTTCCAGTTTAGCAGACTTTAAATATACCAGTTTAGTATACCAAAAGTACAATTGCAGGGTATTTTTATTAAGCACTTAAATATGGCATTTTTTGGGAAAAGACAAAGGTGGGAAAAGTTACTTTAAATAGCCGTTGCCAACAAGGCATTCTTTCTTTCTTTCTTTCTTTTTTTAACAGATCAAGACAATATATATATATATATATATAAAAAACACTTGTGTCACATCCTTGGCCCCTTAGTCATGTTTCAGCCAAAATGCATTTGTAGAATACAAGTTCACAGAATTGAGAATATGAATATAGTTTTGCAAGGCTGCAGTCGAGCTACCCAGCAAGAACTAAGGCACAGACAGCTCTCAGATGCAACTTTTAATGTTTGTCTGAGATGCAAACGCCTGGGAATCCAAAGTGCCCAGTCAGGAGACTTAATTCAAGGGTAGCCCGACAAGCTGACAGAAAAACAAAATCTTCCCTCTCTGATATGTGTTACATAATACATCACACAGACACGCAGAATCCTCCTGGCACAGTTTAAAACTTTGAATACTGTTGTGCTCAATGTCAAATGAAGGATTTATGATTTTGCAGTTTGCATGCTTCTCCTAAAAGCACTAACAATCAATGCATGCAGCCTTTTAATAACGTATTGAAGAAAACTTAAGGATTTAACTAAGCTGTAACTGAAAATAGACAACTTTTTAAGACCAAATAAGAAACAGAAAAATGTAGATGTATGTCAAATTTGAGAAAGAACCCTAAACCATGACCTAGATAGCTTTCAAAGGATTTTCGGGATGTGCTCGAAGCCGAATACCTTAATCTGAAAGGCATGGATAATGACTTCTAAACAAATAACGAATTTTAATGAATAATATTTAAAAAATATGCAGTATATGAAGTCACTCCTTGAGCTTGCTGGAAAGCAGGTGAGCCAAGTGACAGCACGATATTTTAGAAATAGTGAATAGAGAATGTGTAAAGTCAATCAGTGTGAACTCTATGAGTGAAAATGAGCAAAAAGCCCCATTGCGGTTTCTGAAGTGTGTGAATTTGTCATGGCAACCAGATACATTTCACACTGATTTTCTACAAGGGCTGAGCTGAAATGTTGGCTAGAAGCACATAGATATGTAAGTGAAGCCTCATTCACTGATGTGTACATATTAGGACATTCTCAGAGCTAATTCACACAGTTGTACAGTACAGCAGCTGCCATCGAATCTGTTTAAACTGGCAGATCACTCGACCACTGAACGAGTCTGGAGCAAATGTGTTTTGTGTAACATGCATGCATTAAATTATGAGGAATGAGAGATTGGTGCTTTGTCTGTGTATTGCACATGGGTTCAAGCTATTTTTCTCAATGGCTTTCAAAAAGTGGTGGAGAAAAGTCTATCCAACACACAAATTACGTTTGCAGATATTCTATGATAAAAAAAGAACAAATGTATGGATTATTAAATAATTGCTACAGATACAGATCCAAGTACAAATACTGGCTTTGCTTCACACCCTTAATAATTATGCTTGAGATTCCAGTTTGTCCTTTAGGTCACACTTTAGTTTAGGGACCAATTCTCACTATTAACTTTAATAGTTAATAGGGTGAGTTTAGAGGGCAAACTAGTTGTTAAGTTTAGGTATGGTGTGGATTAAGGGATCTAGAATATGGTCATGCATTATTATGTGCTTTATAAGTACTAATAAACAGCCAATATGCTACTAATACAAGCAGCTAGTTAATAGTGAGAATTGGTCCTTAAACGAAAGTGTTACCATGCTTTGCATAATTACAAATATACTATGTTTTGACCAAATTCTAAGGCATACTTTGCTGAGTAGGCAATAATAATGGATGAGCTTAGAGAAACACAGGGCATTTTTATGCATATTTACATATATTTTGATGCTTTGTAACATTCTAACATCAAAGTCTCTGGCATCAGTTGTGGGTTGAGACTTTTGTGTGTCTCATGAGGAACCCTGTTTGTGTGGTGCAAGCAGTCGCTGCCTAGGTATATTATTCCCAATCAACCATTTATGAGATCGTATTTCAGTTAGGATGCTGCCTTGGAAAGCAGATACCTAGACAATACAACAGCTCGCTCGATTTGAAGATGTTGGAGACTGCTGCAGAGTGATGCTAACAGCGCATTGATCGCTTAACTTAAAGATCAATTAGGACACTCACCAAACACAGTTCTGGCGGGGACAGATTCCCTGTTTAGCCAGAAGGATACCTGGGACAGGATCACGGTCATGATACACGGCAAATATGTCTGGATGACAAAGTAACCAATCTTCCTCTTGAGGTGGAATTGTGTTTTCATCACAACATACTCTCCTGGAAGTGAAAGAGAAAGAGATCTTTGAAGGAAGCCATATATACATTAATTAATGAGTATTATGAAAATTAATTCAATCATGCAACCTAACCCGCACGTACGACAACAGCAGCACAGAATGAGAAAGTCTACTTCAGACAGACAGACTTGACTTCTCAAGCTACTTTGTGTCTTCTACAACAATATCTCCATTTAGGGACTTTTCTCAGCAAATACTGATATGCAAGATTAATTATAATGAATCTGAATGGATATCATGTAGTTATTTCATTCACTATTTCTTTACCCTAATGCATACAATAATGCTTATGCAGTATGTGTTTATTATTATGCCAAATCATTATTCCTTAATCACTGCACTGCATATTTTTTGTTTTCTCATGGATTGTCCATATCCACGTGTATAGAAAACATAATGGTGTTTATGCACTTTATGTCTGATGCTGCTATTTTGCACCTGAATTTCCCACATGGGAACAAATAACCATATAGAGCTCATATGTTGCAGCGTATGTGTTTTCATCTGGAAGATGTGATATTTAGAGCATTTGCTCATGTGCAAAACACTATAAAATCATTCCTAGTTGATATTAGAACTATTCAGGAGATGTTCATGATTTTAGAGTGTATGATGTTTATCAGATGGTTTATATGCAAATATGGTGCTTTAAATAGAACATGCTCTTTCCAGATGATGCTCTTTTTCACATTTCTCTATTGTGCTTACTAAGATGCAAAGTAGAATTCGTGTTGTAGTCTAAATTAGCTTTCGGCAAACTGGCATTTTTTCTTTAATAAAAAAATCTTTCATCACAAATTATATTAACATACTAACAAATCTGAGAGAATAGTACACTACCACAATGCATTTCTTGCCCCAGTGAAGAGCAAACCGTCAGTCGGTCAAAATATTGTAACTGACTGATCGATAATGACAAGGTATTCACCGTCTGACAACTAAATCCACCAAATCATATGTGACCCTGCAGCACAAAAGCAGTCTTAAGTCGCTGGGGTATATTTGTAGCAATAGCCAAAAATACATTGTATGGGTCAAAATTATAGATTTTTCTTTTATGCCAAAAATCATTAGGATATTATGTAAAGATCATCTTCCATGAAGATATTTTGTAAATTTCCTACTGTAAATATATTAAAATGTAATTTTTGATTAGTAATATGCATTGCTAAGAACTTAATTTGGACAACTTTAAAGATGATTTTCTCAATATTTCGATTTTTTTGCACCCTCAGATTCCAGCTTTTCATATAGTTGTATCTCGGCCAAATATTGTCCTATCCTAACAAACCATACATCAATGGAAAGCTTATTTATTCAGCTTTCAGCTGATGCATAAATCTCAATTTCGAGAAATTGACCCTTAAGACTGGTTTTGTGCTCCAGGGTCACATATTATTGAAAAAGGAGGTAGTCCAATGAACCCACTTTGGACCCTTTTGTTAGCTGTATCAATTGGCCAATAAAAGAGGGACCAGAATAATAATTTGCATATCCACAAGGGAAATTATAAAATCCGGAGCAAGCTACTTTGGCTAAACTTGCTAAAACATAACCATAGGCTTCGTTTCTAAACATCACAGGGTCAAAACACACACCAGTGCTGGACTGCACCACACCCGAGTCGACCGTCTGTCCCATCAAGTCATACTGGTTGAGACGGGAGCCATCATCAGCCACGACCACAGACTGTGCCGCCCCTCGCGTCCAAACATATACCACTTCAGCCCTCGTGTAGGCATCTGATGCAAACAAACAAAACATAAAATCAACTGTCTGAAGTCAAAAAGTCACTTGTCAGAGCTTGCTGGGGTCATATACTGCAGTGGATTCTCAAGCGCAGCGGAGACGCAGCAGACGCTGAAATATTTAGAGCCTCGTGGATTTGAGTCACAAGCTTGTTTTTTATTCATGTGTCTTCCCCCCCTCACTCTTCCTCCAGCGCAGACGCATCTGTTCTTTCTCTGCGAGGATTAGTTGGGTCGGGGTAGAGCTCGCTAAATCCGTTCGGCTGGCTGGG